ATGAGGATTCTGGCCCTTATGGAAGTGGAATAAGGGGTTTGCTAAATCCGCATCCATTATCCCGGTTTCCAAATGAATTGTACAATGTAACCGAAGCAAACCACTAAACCGAGCAGACAAACAACCGAGAAAAAGCTCGGTCGTTCATTTAATGCCCTAAATAAAGGAGTTTCGACCTGTAAATGGATCTCATCGGCTTTCTCCGCCTTTCCATTACGGGGATCCTTCCACTTCTTCCACGATTTAACGTCTTCGGGATGTGTTCCGCTTTGTTTTCACTTAGCGGAGCTAACTTGATGTATGGAACGATTTAAGTAGCTGCCTTTTTGCGAGTCGAAGACGAGCTGACAGACCAGCGAAATTAAATTGCGAAAGCAAATCGGAATGCGAGCAGGCAGCGAATTTTACGCAAAATTAAATCAATCGGTGAAAAACGTGCAAAGGTCGGCACTGCCTCCACATAATTTGCAAGCCAGTGCTTTTGATAGCCCCTTATGTATGTATGTGTGTGTATAATATTCCACCCCATATGGTGCGGGTAAATCGTGGGGGATGAAACGCACGCACTTACAAGCACTCGTGTTTAATGAGCTAACCATTTTCAAACAGTTTGTCATTGTGCGAATATAATTGCGTTGTTATATCATCATTAAACGATGACAGGCGGCCGCTTCCTATAAAATATGGCTCTTTCCACTTTAAATTGCCCGAATTAATATTTCATCGGGCATGGAAGGATTGTTTTCAGGGGGATGATGACTGGGCGTGTTCCTCAGTTAGTTAACTCATTAGTTAGCTATCATCTGATTGCTGACGGACGAATCCTCCTTTACCTTGTTATTTTTAAATATTCAGTGTGTTGTGCGGGTGAAAAAAATCCTTATGCGTGACGTTGGCGCCCAGTTATCGTACGATATTCGAACAAAGTCCGTCGTAAATTACCGGTTGGACAATGGTCCAACAGCAACAAAGTATTACCGTCGAATGTTCCCACGTTGAGCTCATAATATCCACCAATAGATTATCCGTTTATTAGCAGACGCTATAAAATGCAAAACTTTTGGACTTCGACCAGTAATTGAGATAGAAAACATATCTTTGACTGGTTTCAGTTGGATTAGCGGAGGAAATCGAAAGTTCGACTTTGTTCTTGTTGATGCGCTAGCTTGGGATAAAATTAAACAGACGAATAATCCACTTTGGTCTGGATTTCCGTTCGGGATGTTCTCGCTCAGTGTTTCTGGCTGATTCCCGACCGATCCATTAAGTAAGGAAACAATTTGGTGGAAGTTAACACATCAGTCGGCTTGGAAAACGATCTCCACCAACGGCTTTATTTCGCGTCCAACTTTCCGAAAACGTTTTGCCTAGGCAAAGATTAAATTGTCCCAATTAAGTGGGCAAATTCGAAATTCGATTGCCGAAAGGGCGATTAAAATCCCCCATTTCACAAGCTTGGAGGTAAAACAATAGTGCGAAAATCGGCTTCAGCTCTTAAAAATCTTCGGCCAAAAATTGAAATTTCGCATGCGTGCTTTTTCAACGCAACGTATTGCTTTCAACCCCAGAAGCACAGCGATATGCATATATGAGGTGTTTGAGT